AGCCTACTCCTTTTGGAGATGATCGCCATATATTTAGGGTTTGAAATGGACCAACAAAACTGCAAAATTGTCAGCAGGTCGTAATTATCGCTCAAACCTCACGCACATTTGAATGGGGGTTACCGGACATTGCAAAAGCCAAGCAGTTTTGGATGGCCATCCAAAAATATTCAACAAAATACGAAAATAGACAAAATACGAAAATGTCCATTCCAGTGACTCTTTGGAGAATTCACAAATACAGGAAAGACGCACTTCTGACTATTTCGGTGAAGAATATAGTCAAATGTCTGTATCTCATATAGAGGCGTTTCAGTCAAAAACCAACAATAAATGTTAATCTTTTGCCACTTCTGAGAGATTTTAGTTCTTTGGGAAATATTGGTTCCAGATCTAGGAAGACCATTTACGTGCAACATCTACCAATAAATTGGAAATGAGCAAATTAGTTTAAGTTGCTATTATTCGAAAATTGGAGAACGAAACCTGATGGTTTTCTTTTATAATTTGTCACAATATCTTGTGGAATTCTTTCGAGTATCTCGCCTATATAAACTGTATCGTTTATTATAGTGTTGTAGGGTATTCAACGGTCGGCCCCGCTCGACTGTAGCCTTTGCTTACTTGTTTTATTTTGACTTTTTGTGGGGGGTGGTAGCGAAAGGCGTAGACAAATGCAGCTCATCTCTAAAGACGATCTAAATTCGATAATAATTTTACAAGGTACCAAGTTTGGACCAGAGTTATCGGTCAACTCCTTCTGATACCTCCCCCACAAAAATGTCTACATTTTCAATATACACGAAGCTCATAAAACGCGATATTTCCATTCGGACTTGGTACATCTCAATATTTTCATCAACACAAGATCTGTTAGAAAGATGGTAGAGATCGGAACATTTCTCCTGGTACCTCTCCCACGTAGGGTTTAAGATTTTGTAAAACAAAACGCTAAAAGAAATCGAAATAAATATCCGATTCTCTTCATATTTTACAGATCCCATTATTTCTTCTAACACAAGATCGATTTTTTTGACCAGATACCTTAGGTCAGATACGAATTGATCAATACTGGCCAACTGCTTGTGAACCTTCCCCATAAAGAGTCGAACATTTAAATAATCCTACCTCAAAACCGACCGAAACTGATATCTTACGCAGAAAAAGTTAGTTGTAGTATGAAAATGGAATACTTCGATCGATTATATCTAGTACCTCACGCACATTTCGACGTTTTCTAAAAATTATCCAAACCTTTCACGTCGTAATATTTATGTAATATATATTTGTGTCCGATACGAAATGGACAATATTTACCCATTCCTTCGAAACCTACTCCAAAGAGGGTCAACACTTTGAATAATCATAACAGAAGTCAAAATATATTTAAATAATCGAACATTGGCTGAGTGTATACATCTATCGGCAAAACCGACTGATACATTTAATTTTCGGTAAATATTTGAAATTAAAAGCATTCACAAATTTGGAAATCCCGGCGCAACGGAAGAAGACCTAATTTGCGAGATTCTACAGTATTATACAAAATTATTTGTCATTAAGTTCTACCACAGGTCTTTGGGGTATAAGTGTCCAATGCAATTGTAGGGCACCATTTAGTCAACGTCATCGGCAATTTCCTCCAATAATTCGTTGTCTCAAAAATATACGAGCACATCAGCTGGATTTTTTCCTTGCCCCTACCACTTCACACCCCTGCCGTTACACATTCTGACATACTCCACCACTTAATTGCTTTTTAATACTGGCATTTTATTAAATAATTTCTTTATTTATTTACTTGCAGTTGTTCTTGTTGCTGTCGTTTAGTTTGTTGTTGCCGACAATCATGTCTCATATCTGGCCACTCGAAAGTGGTGTTGTTCTTGTTGTTGTTGTTGTTGTTTGCTATTATTGTCATTCAGTTATATTTAGTAAGTCTCATAACCAGAGATTAACATATTTACACAGATACGCATTGTTGAAACGTTTGATAGATCGTCTGTCGCTCCGACTACAAGCGATTAATTAGATGTCCATAAAATTGAACTGGAAACTATAAAAGGTGTTAAATTGACATCGTAGCCGAACAAACAAATGTTTACATTTACGCACATGGACGGGTATTTACGTATGTCAGTCACTATGTCATGGGAAATAAATTGAGAACTAAAAAAATAAATCAAATAATGGAAATGCAATGGGAAATAAGAGAAAGAAAGAAAGAAAGAGTGAAACGTTTTACACCACGGCCCCAATTTTTGTTCTCTTAAAATGTGAAATGAAAACTTCTATAAAGGAAAGAAATGTCAAATGAAAAATTTTATAAAGGAAATATTTTTCATTTCATATTTTCGTAGAAAAAGAATCCAGACCGAGGTTGGGGGCAAGGGAAATTGAAAAGTACTTAAAGAAAAGGAAATACTTATTTAACAAATTGAATTTCGAGGCGAAATCAAATCAAAATAATTATCTTCAAATTTTCAAAATCTACCAAAGATATAGTACATGTGAAACTTGTTTCAGATATAAAATATTACAAAGGCATTACAAAGAGCAAATATATACAATTTAGAAAGCGGATTTTTAATCAATATTTTTACAAGGTAACCCACAAGAAACCGTGGATTAAAAGAAAAAATCTAGGATCAGGAAGTGTTTTTTAAAAACTATTTTTTTAATTCTTAAAAAAAATTCAGGAAATAAACAAAAATAGTGACAAGTAAAAAAAACATTAAGTTCGGACGGGCCCAAGTTTTAAAACTCTTCACCTCTGGCTAAAGAAAACATATTTATATACAAGTATCTGAATTCCAACGTGTTGCACCATAAACTGCAGACTGCGTTTGGATAATGTTGTTAAATTAAAAAAAAAAAGGAAAAACATGTAAGTTCGGCCAGGCCAATCTTTGAATACCCTTCAAATATAGCAAATTGAAAAGAATCGCCAACTTGTTTCGCAAGTTATGACAGACATTAACATTGGAAATTGTGACCTTTTGTGGGTGAGGTACCAGAAGGGCTGGGCAGATTTTGCGTTAGCAAAAATATTTGGATTTGTGAAATTTGAAGAGAGTTGGATGCTTATTTCGATTTCTTTGAGCGTTTTTTTTTTTCAAAATCTAGAACCCTATGTGGGGGAGGTACCAAAAGAAATGTTCCGATCTCTACCATCTTTATAACATATCTTGTGTTTTTGGAAATATTGAGATGTGCCAAGTCCGAATGGAATTGGATGTTAATTTCGCATTTTATGAACTTCATGGGTATTGAAAATGTTAACCCTTTGCATGGGAGATACCAGAAGTACTAGGCCGATATATTCCGTCTGCACCAGAGGTTAATAAAAAATATTGTGATCTATGTAGTATGAAGACAATCAGAATCTTACGTCACATTTTATAAAAGTTATAATTTTTCAAATAAATATTATCCCTTTGTGGGGAGTGGACCAATATTGTCCATTTACACACCTGACCTAGCACTGATGAAAATATTAGGATTTGTAAAGTTGGAAAAAAATCGGATGATGATGTTAACAAAAAAAATGTTAACATTATATGGGGGAGGTACCAGAACGAATGCCCATCTTCGAACTCCATCTAAGTTTGACAATAATATTGGCATATTCAATATATTGGCATTCGAGAGTTATCGCGCGTACCAGCCAGCCAGACGGACGAACAGACTGACATCGCTAGATCGACCCCAAATGTCCTGAAACGCATTTGGTCCAAAGAGACCTAAACCGACTCTAAAACCGTTATTGCGATTAGGCAGGTTTTGGCCGTATCAAATATAATCCATATGGGTGAGGGTTTACAAATTGTTCGGACCGGACCATTTCTTCTGGTATCTTCTTTGATAGCTTTGTATCAAAGAAAGAAAAATATCATCCAACTTTCTTCAAATTTCACACGTGCAAGCATTTTTTCTAACACATGATCTGTTGTGAAGATGATGCATATGTGCGAAACCCTTCTGGTATCTCACCCATAGCTTACGAAACAAGTCGGCGATTTTTTACAACTTGCAATATCTAAATACCTGAGATGAATGTGGGATTTATGATTTCGCATAAAATTGGATATATTTTTTTCGATTTCCTTGTAATTGTTATTGGATTCACTATTTTATTTATATTATATTTATTAGGTCCGATACGAAATGGACAATATCGGTCGATTTCTTCGGAACATACTCCATAGAGGGTCAAACATTAGAATAATAATTCGAGAAGTCAAAAGGTATTTAAATAATCAACCATTGGCTGAGAGTATACATCTGTCCGACTAATACTTTTAACATTAATACCCTCCACCATTTCATGGAGGGTATATTAAGTTTGTCATTCCGTTTGTAACACTTTAAAATATACATTTTAGACTCAACAAAGTATATATATTTTTGATCAGCATAAAATTCTATGTCGATTTAGCAATGTAGGTCCATCTATTCGTCTATGGAAATCACCATAGCTTCCCAAAGAAATGAAGTAGGTTAATAAAATTTTACTCAAATGTTGATTATGTCTGCAGGACTTTTGATATTGAAAATGGGACATGTAGGTCCATGTTTTGGTATAGCCACCACATAAGAGTACCTCCCTATTTTTTGTATCCCTATTTTTAGTCTGCGCAGGTCCACGTTTTGGTATAGCCCCTTTGGTGCTTCCCTATAATCGGTATTTTGGTGGTTTTAGCAATATTATTCACCGATTTTGTTTCAAGTTTCGCATTTAAATATTATAATGGCTTATTACAAAATGTAGCCTTTGCAGGTCCACGTCGTCGTGTAGACTCTAATACAACGGCTACATTCGGCATTTTTAATATTTAAACCGAATTTTTAACGGATTTAATTTTTTTTTTTTTATTTTTATTGCCAAATTCGTTCCAAATGGTGGAGGGTGGGCCGAACTTACAGCATTTTAACTTGTTTTTTTTTTATCGTTTTGGCATTTTTTGAACAAAATATTGATATTGATTTGAAATACTTACATCTTACACTAGTTCGTTACTCGATGGCCGAGTCTGTCTCAATATAATCCTTTGGTTGTAAATAAATATTTTTCGTTTTTTTTTTTTCAATCACCATTTATTTGCCTTTGCCCTTGTTTTTAGACACTGTCTCCGTCAGTCATTGCAAATAAAAGACATTAAGTGAAATGTTGCACATGTCATCGTGGCATGTATGCAATTATTTGGTATGGTATTTTTTTTATTTTATTCATGTACTCTACAGCCTGATGTGGAAACGATGTGTGAAGGTGTGTGTACTTGAAAATAATTATACCCTACACCACAAGGTGGTCAGGGTATTGTGTCTTTGTGCATTTGTTTGTAACAGGCAAAAGGAAACGAGATATCCCCATAGTTCCCTTTGATGATCTGCATAGAATCACATTCTGAGTCGATTTATGCATCTCCGTCCGTCCGTCTGTCCATATATTTTTGTGAACAAAGTACAGTTCGCATTTATTACTCGAGCCAGATGAAATTTTGCACAAATCATTTCACAAGTCATTTGATTGGCCCAAGGACGAACCCTATTGAAATTGGAGATAATCGGTAAAAATTTAGATATAGCTCCCATATACATCTTCATCCGATTCGATTTTATTGTGCACCAAACGTGTAATATCAACCCGAATGGAATGAAATTTGGCTCTTACGACCGAATTGAGTCTAGAAGCTAGTATGTCAAATTTGGTGAAGATCGGTTCAGATATAGCTATAGCTCCCATATATATTGTTCATCCGATTTATTATTTTAGTTCTCCGCAGCCATAATATGCACTCTGTAGTAAAGATATTCGGGGAAATATATGAAATACAGCTCAGAAATATCTTTGCCAAATTATATCAAGATCGGTTCGGATTTGGATATATCTCCCTTATATAACTTCGTCCGATGTACCTTTTATTGTGCACTAAACGTCTAATATTTGCCCATGTGGGATAAAATTTGGAACTTACGACCGAATTGAGTGTAGAAGCTAGTATGTCAAATTTGATTTGATATCAAATACAGCTCAGAAATATCTTTGCCAAATTTTATCAAGGTCGGTTCAGATTTGTATATAGCTTCCATATATATCTTCGTCCGATTTGCCTTTTATTATGCACAAATCGTCTAATATTTGCCCAAATGGGATGAAATTTGGCACTTACGACCGAATTGAGTCTAGAAGCTAGTTTGTCAAAATTGGTGAAGATCGGTTCAGATATAGCTATAGCTCCCATATATATTGTTCATCCGATTTGTTGTGTTAGTTCTCCATAGCCGTAATATGCACTCTGTAGTAACGTTATTCGGGGAAATATATCAAATAGAGCTCAGAAATACCTTTGCTAAATTTTATGGAAATCGGCTCAGATTTGGATATAGGTCCTATATATAACTTCGAATTCCGAATTGGATGAAATCCGGCACTTACGACCGAATTGAGTCTAGAAGTTAGTATGTCAAATTTGATCGAAATCGGTTGAGATATAGCTTTAGCTCCAATATATATTGTTCATTCGATTTGTTATTTTAGTCCTCCGCAGTCGTAATATGCACTCTGCAACAACAATATTTGGGAAAATATGTCAAATATAGCTCAGAAATACCTTTGCTAAATTTTATCGAGATCGGTTCGGATTTGGATATAGCTCCCATATATAACTTTATCCGATTTCAAAGTAATTGTGTACCAAATGGGCAACACATGTCCGAATTTAAAAGATTCAAATGCTTCGGCATATTTAGTCTTTCGAACTTGAAATTACAATTATAATCATAGCGGATATGATGGAATTCTTCCATAAAAACGTTTAATTGTTATGCGCAGCTCTACTAAATTAGCAATGTGGTGTAGGGTATCATTAAGTCGGCCCCGCCCGACTTTAGTACTTTCTTTACTGGTTTTATTTTCGGAAAATTAATTCAAACTTTTTGCATTTATATTTTTACAAATCGTGTATGCATTCTATTTCTTAATGATTTGAAATAGGGTAAATTATGGCCGATGCCGTCGGTATTTTTTCTACATTTCATTATTTGTATTTCTGCAATATCTGCAAATCATGCAAAAATCATTGACACTTATTTCTTTTTTATTTGGAAATTATTTCATTATTTAATTGATCATCATTTTGGATAACAACGGATTCTGTGTATTTTTTTAATAATATTTTGCAAATATGTATTTTTTAATTCTATTCCCACTTTATTTGAACTTTGATAGAGGGATTATAACAAAAATTTCCAAATGATTTTGTTTTGAAAACAAACTTTGACACACATTTCTGGGATTATTATTTCAGATTACGATTTAACTACTTCTGACAGTTTAAATCGATTAATAACACCGTTTTTTTATTTAATTTTCTAATGGAACTTTTTACAAAACAACTAAGAAACGCGCCAAAATTCTTTTCTTATTAAATTTTAATAATTTTGAGCAAAAAAAATCTAAAACTTGTTGCAATTGTTTTGCTCCACATTGACGAGAATTATTTATCAACAATAGTCACTGACACAAGTACCGCAGGTATTACGCACACATCCAAGACCGCCGATGGACGCCACGATAATGTTTCGTGTGGGAAAACTATTGTCAATTGCTGCGACTCGAAAAGAGAACAACAATAATAAAGCCTCAAAAAAATGACATACCGGCAAACCACACCAAACCCCTCCCATGCCTGGAAATGTTCAAAATGTTCGCTAAAAGCTCAATTGTACTATGTAAACAAAGCAAAAGCTTTCAGCAAGTTGCCAGAGTAATTGCTATAAGAGTTTCGACCAAAAACTGGACAAAGAAATTGTTCTTCGTAAATTCGAATTAATTTTTATACCCTTTTTTTAAGCCCGATGGAACTTGAAATTGTAAAAAATAACACAAACAAGTAAAAAAGCAGTAAGTTCGGCCGGGCCGAACTTTGAATACCCTCCACCATTTGGAACGAATTAGAAAATGTTCAAAAAAATAAAATCCATTATTTTTTTTTTAATCTTTACAATATCTAAAATAGGAAGGTACCGATATATTACCCCCATATACCCCAAATTTACATTGCCAAAATTCGGTCCATTTGGGCTGATATTAGCTATTTGGTGCACCATCAACCTGATATCGGCTAAGGACATATATTGGAGCTATATCCTAATCCGAACCGATCTCGATAACATTTGACAGAGGTATTTTTGAGCAGTATTTGATATACGGTACCAAATATCATTCTTCTGGAGTGCATATTACGCTTGTGAGGGACTTAAAATCCCAAATTTGCGTTACTTGCTTCTAGACTGAATTCGTGGGATGTACCAAAACACAGGTTATTTGGACTTTTAGCCATTATTACTATTAGCCATTAGGTGCGCAATTCACTTAATCTAATTCGATTTTCACCAATTTCAATTTCAATTTGCAAAATTTCATCGCAAACGGATAAAAAATGAGAACTGCATTTTGTTCACAAGAATACATCTTGCGCATGTTTCATGTTTTGTTTCGCCGTAAAGTATCTTCACTTTGTTCTATACAAACAAAAGACCTTTATGATCATCGCGTGCTCCTTTCATTTTACAACAAAGCTCAATGGGTACGTAAATAAGCAGAATTATGGATTTCGGAGTTGAGATCAGCCAGAAGCACTGCAAAAAAAAAAAATGTATCCCGAAAAAATCACATTTCGGACCGTTTTATGGACTGGTGGCTTTTTTGAACTGTACTGCTTGAAAGAAGCTTCGAATGGTAACGTAACTATGGATGGTGAGCGCTACCGTGATATGATACCCATTTTTTACACAAACAGCAAGTGCTTGGCTTGCATGACATGTAGTTTCAACAAGACATGTAAAAAACACGCGTTGTATATAGAGAGAAAGTTAGGCTCATATTTTATTTCCCTTTCGGGACCGGTGAAATGTCCGCTTAGATTGTGCGATTTATGATATTGTGGACCTATTAAGACAAATCTATGTCTGGGTGTAAAGTACTCACAAGGAACTCCTTGTGTGGATTTTCAGATAATTCCATTGGAAAAAGTGGCTAAAATCGTCAAAATACCGAATACCGGGGGGTATCGTTATATGGGGGCTATACAATATCGTGGACCGATATAGCCCATCTTCGAACTTGACCTGCCTGCAGACAAAAGAGAGATATGTGCAAAATTTTAGCTTCCTATATTAACTTGTTTAGAATGTAGCGTGATTACAACAGACGGACAGACAGACGGACAGGCCTAAATCGTCTTAGAATTTTACGCTGATCAAGAATATATATACTTTGTTGGGTCTGACATGAGTATTTCGAGGAGTTACAAACGAAATGACGAACTTAATATACCCTCCATACTATGTATGGTGGAGGGTATACAAATTATTATTTTAATCAGAAAAAAAAATATTCGAAAGATCAATGACAAGTGACATTAACATTTGAAAATGATTTCGGGCATATGGGCATCGCGAAGTGTATTCTGGACGTCCAATTTTTGGCCACTTTTTCAAGCACTGCTGGCCGTATGTCACGAATAACACGAACAATGCTGGCCTCCAAGGCCCCACAGGGAATAATCGAAAGGTGTCAAATCGCACGACCGTGGAGGCCAATTGACAGGTCCACTTCTCAAAATCAACTTATCGCCAAATTTTGATTTCAATAAGTCCATGGTTGCATTCGTCGCATGGCACGTAGCGCCATCCTGTTGAAACCACATCTCCTCCGGATCAATGTCATCCATATTTTTAAACAAAAAATCATTGATCATGGCGCGGTAACGATCTCCATTAAACGTAACGCGAGCTCCGGCCTCATTTTTTGAAAGAATAAGCATAATAGCATAAAATTTAAGAACAAGTTTAGATTTGTTCGAATTGGTCACCTTTGGCGCGAATTATGGCCTTCATACGGCCAATGAAACCCCCTGCCCGAATGTCGTCTGCGGTATTTTGGCCTATTCCCGACGAAGCGCTGGTTTTGGTATTTTTTAGAGCCAACCTTTCCAAAATACTCCAGACACAATAGTCCAACGGATTGGTATTCGGAGATTTTGGTGGCCATTGTTCGCTGGAAATTAAGCGAGGAATCTCATTTTGTAACAATTCTTGGGTGGCGCGTGCTAAGTGCGCTGATGCTGAGTCCTGTTGGAATGTCCAAGGTCTGCGGCCAAAATGTGTGCGTTCCTAAAGCTATAATACACCCTCCAGAATATTTTCGCGATAATATTCGGCATTTATTCAGATGCCATGGTCGATTAATACAAGATTAGGGCGATCATTGGCTGT